GCTTATTACACTATCAATTCATTTTCTGTTGGTCAAGTCAATAGCAGCAGACATTTATGCGTTCCTTTTATCTATTGTACTGTGGTGGGGAATTCAGAAGAATTATATGGCTTTGTTTTTGAATGTTTTAATGATTTGATCATTAGTTAAAGCTAATTAGAAGCATGGTAAAAGATAAGTTGAAGAGCACTACTTTAGTCCTATCATAGTGGTTTATTTTAGGTTTCTTTGGAAGAGCTCTACTTATATATGTCTTTCAAATGGTAAATTTGCATTGAGAACTTGTGTTGTTTTATGATCATGTTTTTGGCTTAAGCCATATTCTTTATATTTTCAGAGGTGAATTGACAGTTTGGTATATAATGGGGAATGAGAATGAGAAAACTTTCTTTCTTTCTTTTTTCCAAAGAACTTTTTCACATACCATGTGTATCAATAGTATGTTTAGATGGATATAAATAAAGAACAAGATAATGGATAGAAAGGTGGGATGTGAATTTGTGTACCATCATATATATTTTTCATTTGTTTGATATATAAATACAAAAGAATCAATTAATTTAGTCTTCACCATACTTACTGATTAATTCTTTCGGCGATAACTGATCAAATTGTATATTGTCACGTCATTCGAAAACAAACTCAATTACCGGGTAAACGATGTTAAAAATCCCAAGGACACCTTTTACTTTAGTTTCATCTTGTATTTTTGTTTTCTTTGTTTTGAGCAGAGGAAGAGTAGTCTGTAATATTTTCAGCCATCTTATTACTTCAAACTTCGGTTTTGACATCGTTGTTGTTGATGAATCCATTAAGGTTGTCTTTTCTCGTGTGATAACAGCACTGCACATCACAATCACAATGCAACAACAAAAGGCACTTTTGTTTGCCACCTAGACGACTTATCAACATACTAAGTTTAATTAAAATACAAGTTTGATTTTAATTTCACCTTCTTAAAACTTCATAATAAGATTATTCATGTTAATGGTATAAACTTCTGAATCAAAGTCTGTATCATTCTTCAGTCCAAGAAGGGGGGGGGGAAGGTCTGTATCATTCATCACATGATATAAAGTTTGACCTATGGCTTTTCTTATTTTTATTTTGCTTACTTTTTTAGGAAATTTAACCAACTTAGAACATTGCCTGCTATAAAAACAGTGCCTGTTTTGCCCATTTAATGTCTATTGCAGTGGCCTCTTCACCTATGGAAAATTAGTCGAAGTACTCTGTTGCTGTGTCAGCCGCCACTGATGTTTTTTTAGAATGGCATGTGACCCTTGACAGAAAGATCAGACCTTTGACTGTGATGCAGCTTGTAATAACCTCTACGTTAATGGTTGTAGGGTTTCTTTTCATCCTTTGGTTGCAATTCTGCTTGCTAATCAATCTATTGAGGGATCATTGTTTTGTTGCCCATGTCATTGCCATCAATGAAATTTTCCCCACTCCTCTTATTAATGTCACAAGAGAGTTAACTTGGAGTAGTGATAAAAGGTTGTTGTCATGTGATTTGGAGGTCACGGTTTAAATTCTAGAAACAACCTCTTCGCTTGCGAGTGTAAGCCTGCGTACCTCTCTTTCTCCTTAGATCTCACCTGGTAGGAGTCTTGCGCATTGGGCCTTCTTATTAAATATCACAACCGTCGTTTTTGTCCATGTCAATGTCTTCAACAATTTAGATCACCAAGTACACATGATGATTTGATAGAATTAACAAAAAATATGAAATACTTGTGGTAATGATGCAGGCAAGGCAGACAACAAAAGCTCAATTCATGGCAAGATGGAGTTTCTGGGACAAACTGCCACATCTTTGCCGGTACTAGGTAGACTTGTTTGTTTGAGACCAAGGATCAGATGGTCAGCTTCTTTTTCTTTCAAAAGGCTGCAGAAGGATCCAGACCCATTTGTATCAACAATCTCAGATGTCATCACTTGATCTTCTTAGTGCTGACTGGTTTTTTTGACAAGTACAAGGTAACCGGCATAAATGATTAGTCTAAAATTGAGTCCTCTTGACAAAACTATATATGATTTCACGAGATTATTAGGTCTATGTCATGGACCAAACAAATGGGGTTTATGCAACTCTTGATAGTTCATCTTGTTTTTAATATAAAAGCTAATTTGACTTTTAATTTAGTTACAAATATAAGACCGCAATCTACTTTGTCATCCATTTTTTCTCAAAATAATCCTTTTAGTAGTTGCACATGTTAATAAGAGTATTCTAGGAAAGATAACACTAATTTATTATAAATAACTAACTTAACTAATTTTCTTAATCTCTCCAAATTAGTCAACTAGGTCTTATATTAAGAACCGATGGTGGTATTATTTTGATTAAAGGAAAAGGACCTTATGGACATCCTTTGTCAAAAGCTTCTGAATCCTTCTTCGTCGCTCAAGGTTTGAACATAGTAATATACTAATATACGCAGATTGAAACGATTTTATTTGTATGATAAAAACCAAGGGTCTTCTATCCTTTTTTTTTTTCCCCTCCTGATGAAACTCATAAAGTCCAACCTTTAAGCTTGGTTTGGATGAAGGGAAAAATAGGAAGAAAATGTGGTGCTAAAGATCTCTGTGTTTCCTTTTTTTTTTTTTTTCTTGGGCTCAGACTTGTGTAATGTTAAATACCAAGGGCATTGAATAAATTAAATCATTCTCGTTAAAAGTCTTGTAGCTTAATGGCATTGATACTTTCTTTTTGTGGAAGATTGCAAATTCAATTTTACTTGTAACTTTAAGTAATTAGTGCCTATCCCTTTAATTCAAAAAATTATTCTCAATTTTAGTTTAGCTTGCTATGAATATGTTCTTTTATTTGTCAATAACAAACTTTGGGACGCTGATAAAGATGAACTTGAGGAATGAGTAACAATCATTATACTGTAAATTAACTTTTTTTCCCCTAAAAATTAAATTAATTCATGCATAATCTGTAAACGTGTATGGGTGTATGATGCAAGCATTTTCTGGTCTGTCAACGTCGATGTCAAACCATTTTATTAAAGAAATGATTAATCAATAAAAAAAATTACAACCCATCATTACTTGCACGCTGGGATGTTATGACAATTATTTGCCAATTTTTTAATTAATAGAAAATATAGTAGTAAAGGAAGGTAGTTGTTTATATTCTGGTAGTACCAAAAAGTTGATTACTAGTATTATTTTCATTTTGGGAAATAAATAAATTTTAAGATCCGCAGTTTAATCCAGAAATAGTTGAAACTAGAAAATAGGAAGAAAATGTGGTGCTAAAGATCTCTGTGTTTCCTTTTTTTTTTTTTTCTTGGGCTCAGACTTGTGTAATGTTAAATACCAAGGGCATTGAATAAATTAAATCATTCTCGTTAAAAGTCTTGTAGCTTAATGGCATTGATACTTTCTTTTTGTGGAAGATTGCAAATTCAATTTTACTTGTAACTTTAAGTAATTAGTGCCTATCCCTTTAATTCAAAAAATTATTCTCAATTTTAGTTTAGCTTGCTATGAATATGTTCTTTTATTTGTCAATAACAAACTTTGGGACGCTGATAAAGATGAACTTGAGGAATGAGTAACAATCATTATACTGTAAATTAACTTTTTTTCCCCTAAAAATTAAATTAATTCATGCATAATCTGTAAACGTGTATGGGTGTATGATGCAAGCATTTTCTGGTCTGTCAACGTCGATGTCAAACCATTTTATTAAAGAAATGATTAATCAATAAAAAAAATTACAACCCATCATTACTTGCACGCTGGGATGTTATGACAATTATTTGCCAATTTTTTAATTAATAGAAAATATAGTAGTAAAGGAAGGTAGTTGTTTATATTCTGGTAGTACCAAAAAGTTGATTACTAGTATTATTTTCATTTTGGGAAATAAATAAATTTTAAGATCCGCAGTTTAATCCAGAAATAGTTGAAACTAGATTAATTATTTTGGCCAAAGTACATCGATACACTGACTATTTAGAGTTTGAGAAATAAATTGCATTGTTCAATATTTATCAATAAATAGTATTTTACTATCAATTTAATACTATACATTGAATATTAATTGACACAATATATTAATTTTCTCAATAGGTATTATAGACATACTTGAGATGAAGGCATGAATAGCACACCTAACAAGTACAAGTCATGCAATCACTATATTATTTCGAATATTGACATATGTAACTAAATCATGATCGGATAAATACCAATTATATTGCATATTATATATGTATATATATATTAATTTTATACCATAAAAATAAATTAAATATATTACAATAATAAGACCATTTTTGTAGTGTAAATTACACTACAAAAGGAGTCTTATATTTAGGACTTGAGGAGTATATGAATATAGGTTACTAACAACATTCATAGATATGGGTTTAAATGATTTTTAGCAAATATAATCCAAGAATATGTAATTAACAAGTGTGATGAATTTTTAAATAGGCCATTTGAGAGTCAATCAAATCCATTTTATGATTGAGTGAATCCATGGATTTGATTATATTACATAAAAATTATTAGTGTTTGAATAGTTAGGGTTTAAATTCAATTTAATTTTTTTATTTTATTATAAAAATGCATGAATAACTAAATAAAGAGAAGTAAATTCAAATAAGGGGAATAACCATCCGTTAAACACATTTTTAAGTAAAGATACTAAAATGCTAAAATCTTATGGGAATCACTTCTTTGAGAGAGAAAATTAGACTTGTTATTTCGTCCATAAAAGAAGCATTTCAAATATCAAACAAGCTGTATCTACATCAACCAAAACAAATCAGAAAACATCTAACGGGAAAATTACAAGGAAACAAATTTCAAGTCCTAGGCTCCGCCGGCTTTTGTACTACTTGAATCCCAGACTACCTCACTTTCTTCCTCTCTCTTTATCTCCCAAACCTATATCGCTATATCTATCTATCCATATATATAGCCTTCCACACTGTACTTAATCAACATAGTTAAATCATAAAGGCTGATCAATGGCTTCCATGGAGCCTGTTAGGTGTAGTATTATGATGCTAATTACAGTATTTGTGACAGTAGTTAACAGTGCAGAGTTATTCCTTGAATGGCACGTTACCTCTGATTCAGGCATCAAGCCGGTCTCTGCAGATCAACCTGTAATGATTAACTGATTTTAGCCTCTGATTCTATATATTGTCGATTAATTTCTTGTGATGGTTCATATATATGTGAATGATAATAACGGTTCTGTTTTTTTGCAGGTTATAACTATCAATGGCATGTTCCCTGGTCCTCTTATCAATGCTAGCACAAATGATAAGGTCCACATCAATGTTTTCAATGATTTGGATGAACCCTTGCTATTTACATGGTATATTTTTTCTGTCTCTGTGCGTCAATAAATTCAGTACCTTCATTATTACATAGCAGTCCATATTTGAGGGTTAAAAGTTCACTTTTGTTTTGAGTCTATGCTCAATGGTTTTTTAGCTGTCAAATATGGGGTAACATATTTGAAGGCTTTACAACAAAACTCATCAAGTAATAGGGTTACAGATCTGGCCTGGGAGGTTTCTGCATTCATTTACCTGACATTTTTTCAGTATTAAGTGTTAAATATGACAAATTATGTATTAGTGCTTTTGATAGTGATGCATTGGAATAAGAGAATGTGCGTTATTAAAGCAAGATTTGAATTATCTGGTGCAGGAATGGGATTCAACAAAGGTTGAATTCATGGCAAGATGGGGTTTCAGGCACAAACTGTCCCATTCAACCTGGTACCAACTGGACTTATGTCTTCCAAACCAAAGACCAAATTGGAACTTTCTCCTACTTCCCTTCCATCAATTTCCTTAAAGCTGGGGGAGGATTTGGTCCTATTCGAGTCAATAGTCGCCCTGTGATCCCGGTTCCCTTTGCTAAACCAGAAGCAGAATATGATCTTCTGATTGGTGACTGGCTCCAAACTAACTATAAAGTAACCATCTCAATAGAATATCTCACTTTAAAGTGTTTTTCCATGTTCATTTCTTAGCTTTTATCAACCTATTCATTTACCTAACCTTCTGATAAATCATATAATCTACTGCAGGATGCTAGGTCCAATCAGGATGCTACTCCTGAATGGATGCTAATAAACGGCAAGCCACCATATTTGAACAATCTTTCATTACCTCATGAGTCCTTCAATGTTACACAAGGTTAAAAACATAAAAACACTGTTATAAATCCTCTACCATGATCTTGTGGGATATATACATAATCACTTCTGTTGTTCTCTATCTCCATGTGGCACAGGAAAAACATATTTGCTCAGGATATCAAATGTGGGTACAAAATGGAGCTTCAACTTCAGGATTCAAAATCACACTATGGTTGTGGTTGAAACTGAAGGGTCATATGTGAGTCAGATGGAGTTGGATTCTCTTGATGTTCATGTGGGGCAGTCTTATTCTGTTCTTGTCACAGCAAACCAAAGTGTTAGTGATTACTATATGGTGGCTTCTCCCAAACTGCATAATCCCTCAGATATAACCAGTCTTGTTGGCATAGCTGTTCTTCACTATGAGAATTCAACCACTCCTGCTAAGGGGTCTCTCCCCACTGGTCCTGACCCATTTGATCTTCAATTCTCAATCAACCAAGCTAAATCTATTAGGTAAATGCTTGCCACTGCTTATCAATATATTTGTTCACTCTATTTCTTCTTGTTTGGCTATGCATATCAATAACCTTCAAGGTAAAAAGAGTATGTCCCATACTATCATATGGTAAAAACAATGCTTCCAAACAGTTTTGGGAAGTTAGAAGTAACTTCCATTGATCTTTGGTTCATGGTTGTGTTAAAATTTACAGTGTGGATCCGTTTTTGTATTGAAGGTGGAACCTAACTGCAGGAGCCGCAAGGCCTAATCCTCAAGGAACCTTCAATGTAACAAATGTGACGATATCTCAAACCTTCATTCTGAAGGCATCAACATCTGATATCAATGGCTCTTTGCACTACACTGTAAACAATGTGTCATACTTGACCCCAGATACCCCATTAAAGTTAGCTGACCACTTCAGCAATGGAACTGGAGTATATGATCTTGATGAATATCCCACGAACTCTTCAAATGATAAAATAGTTCGCGGAGTATTTGTAGCAAGTGGATTGCATAAAGGGTGGCTGGAGGTTGTGTTCAAAAATGAACTGGAGACTATAGATACTTGGCATTTGGATGGATTCAATTTCTTTGTTGTTGGGTGAGTGTGGCTGATCATTTTCTATTTTACTACTATATAAAACTAAGAAATTGGAACTTGATGTTTGTGTTTAGGTTTGGTGAGGGAAAATGGAAGCCAGAATTGAGATCAAAATACAATCTTTATGATCCAGTGTCACGCTCCACAGTGCAAGTGTTCCCTAGAGGATGGAGTGCTGTGTATGCATACCTCGATAACCCAGGAATGTGGAATTTGAGATCACAGAAACTCAGAAGTTGGTATTTGGGCCAAGAGCTCTATGTGAGGGTCTATGATCCTGATCCCAACCCTAGCAAAGAGGACCCGCCTCCAGAGAACCTCCTCTTATGTGGTCAGTTCTGTGTTAAATAATGAAACCTGAGTAATTTTAAACGTAAATGAAGTTATATGATTGAGATGTTGATGAGTATGAACAAATACAGGAAAGTATCAACCTGATGCACCAGGCCCTTCTCCCTCAGGGCCACCTGCACCATCACCCTCTAATTCCAGGACATGGGGTCCCCCAGATATGACATGGTATTCACATAACTTTGAGAAAAATTAATCTTTTTGTCCATTAAAAAATTAGTCTATATTTTAGAAAACAAAATAATATATTTTATGAAGCTTAGAGCTAAAATTTTGAATGATTAAAACTACAGGAACTGAATTGTAATGAAAAGTTCGGGGATCATGTTTCAACTAAATCAAAACTATGAGGATTGAGTTATATTGAGTCAAAGTTTAAGAATTACGTTACAACCGAGTTAATACTGAGTAAATTTAAGTATCGGTTATATCATATATAGTGCTTTGCAATCTAACATGTACTATTCTTTCTTGTTTGTTAATTAATAGGCCTCTTGTTGCCATGATCACCGCCCTGCTTCCTCTATATTGGCCAGCAACTTAAGCCTTGTGATTCTGAGCCCTTTGGAAAGAACAATAGTGGAGATTCAGATACATCTGTGCTCTGACAAAGTGTTTCTTCTTTTTCCTGTTGATTTTTTTGCAGTGCAAAAAAAAAGTTTTATATCTGTGCTCAGAGATGATACCATGATGGCCACAAAATGGTCATTCTAAGTTTCTAACCCCAAGAATATGATTTTATCCAGCCAAGTCCAAATATCCTGATCCATAGAAAGGTCTAAATCCGGTTTCAGAATTGCACTACTACACATTGATCACATTAAAATGTTATTTGTTCCTTTTTATTTCTGAGTGTGATACTGTGATTTGTGGGTGATCATGATTAAAAAAAATAGTCTTTTGGTAAAAAGTTTTTAAATATATGAAGGATAATCTTTATGGTCCTCAGAGTACTTATAACCCTGCAAGAACTTGTAACAATTAAACCTATCGTTATGGCAAGGTTTTGTTGTTGGATTTATGTCTTAGACTTAGATCTAGATTTCTTGGTACTTTCCTCTTCCTGACTTCTCCTCAGCTTTAAACTCTTACTCGTAGAATGGGTTTCAGGATCAAATTTTTCTTTGAAAAATCAATTAGGCTTTACATCTTCAAAAGCTAAGGCGTCTGAATTTCCATATTCAAATGTTTACAAGAGAGAAGGAATGAGACAACTAACGAAACCTTATCCTGATATTCAGTTCTAACATCAATATTTTCTAAATTCCATTATAATCAAATTCAAACCATCCAGAAGAAATCAAATAGGATTACCTTCAATGTTATAAATAATGGTGTATAACTCTGTATGTGTTTTGGGAGTCCCCGAAATAATTGTTTTTGTGCTTTATGAAACAAAACTCATCTCATATTTTTTTTAATACAATTTATTTAAAATGAACTAAACTAAACGTCTTCGAAACTTGATTGCAAGACTTCTACTCATATATTGAGAGTCCAACGTAACTATAATGCAACAAGCATGGTTTCATTGACTACTTCTGGTAAACTCTTGTTGGATTAATTGCAAAAAGAGCACCAATAAGAGTTGATTTAGTTGTAAAAGTCTGTTTGTGAATTTGAATCACGTTGTTGATATGAGAATTATATTGGTAGGCGATTTATAAACACTCTCTTAAATTTGGAAACATGCTTTACTCCAAGTGAATCCTTGAGATCCAACTCATCTAAACATATAAAAAAAATTGCAAAAGAGCCTTTTCATCTAACGCTCCCACTATTCATGAGAAATAGGGTGTGTTTAACTTGGCGTTTTGAAGCCCAAAAGTGGCTTCTTGATGTCATAAGCATGATTATAAATTTTGTGGGTGTTTGGTGGAACTTTTGGGCCATCTCATTTATGGCTCAAAAGGAGGATTGAATCGCATGAATTGATGAACTCCTCAAAGTGACTTATTCAGAATAACTCCTCAGTAGAAACAATTATTACACAGTGTCAGATTTTCTCACTCTTTCACTTACTTTATTCTCTCTCGTTCTCTCATTATTTGAAAGGCTTTCATGCTCATTCTTATCATTAAAATAATTTAAATTCATTGTATTATCTAGATTTACTTTCTTAATTATTATTTAATAAAACTCATCCTCATCTGGATAATTTTACTAGCTAAACTTACTAATTTAAATTTATTATATTATGTAAATTCATTTCTTTATTATTTTTCATTATCTAATAAAACTCATACCTATTTTGGTAATTATAAAAACTAAACTTATTTTTATTCAATCATAATCCAAATAACTTTTTACTCAATCTAACTTTTACAAGCTAATTTTTTATAAAATTCAATTCAAACACAATTCACATCACCCAATTTAACTTTTACCTAATCTAATTTTTTCAAAAATCAAACTGACAATAAGTTATTTTTCTAATTATTAACCCAAGCGCACCCATAGTAATTGGCTTATTTCTTTTACCAGGCAAATTTTTCTTCAACCTATTTTGAGTAAGAACATCCTGAATCTGAATTCAATCACAAAACTAATGTTGTCATTAAACTTCTCAATGTGAACTTTGTGACGGTAGACATCTTAAAATTTTGATGTCACTTGTTGGTAAACATGGAAATTAGCAGATTTAAGAAAAATTAAACAATTGTTAACTAAGAGAAGTAAAAGTAAATAAAATAAATAACAAATAAGATTTTTAACATAGGAAAACCCCAATATGGGGGGGGGGATCCATGAACAATGACAAGTAAGAAATTTTACTGCAGAGAGAGGGAGAGTTTATAATAGCATTTTACTACTAGTATATCACTTTTTCTTAGTGAAAAATACTTTAAAGTTAAATTAAAGAGAGATTTATTTTTAAGAATTTTATCATCATCTGTTTTGTTGTTATTTTCGGGTAGTAATAACAGTGGCGGACCCAGAAAATTTTATGGGAGCAAAATCTGTACTTCGTATAAGTATTTTTTTTTTAAAAAAATAAGTATAAATAGTTAGTAAATTGGACAACAACATAAAAAAAATTACCTCAATATAAGAAATACTTATATTAAAAGTGATACATAAGTACTAAATATTAAAATCATTCTCCTTTTTACCAGAAAAAATTAGTCACGGCTATTGATTAAAAAAATTTAATTGCTTCCTTTATAATGGTAATGAAATTCTTCTGATAAATGTTTCGTACAAATCATTAAAAATTATTTTCATTTTATTATATAGCGTTATTTATTAAGTAAACTTGAGTTATAGTTTCAAATAGAATTTGGTTCTGAAAGAGTTTAAAAAAAAAAAAGATATATCGTCATTTTTTTTTCTTAGAGACCATAGTTCTATTCATAAAGCTTAATTATATCTTATTATTATTTAAAGGTCAAAAACTTATATCTTGTGATTCTGTACTTTTTCCAAAATTTACTTTTGAGTCAGTGTGAGATATGATTACGCACACAGTCACACGCGCACGTATATTTTTGAGAAAATTGGGGAGAAACCCCCTTTAAGAAATTAATTGACAAATAAGATCTAAGAGTGTTATACAACTTATTTCTATTGTGTGTAACTTAACTTTTTTGTGTGTAATTTATCTTTGATTGTGTGTAATAATCTTCTTTTGTACGATATGCAATTCAATTTCTCTTTGAACAAATAAAATTTTCTTATGTATAAATTATTTTCCTATGTACAAATTAATCTTTTATACTCAAATAATTTTTGTGCAAACCATCTTCTTTTTGTGTAATTTATCTTTTGATGTGTAACTACTCTTTTCTTGTGCAATCAATTATTTTAGAAACTATTTACCAATTAAATTTGTAACGCAGGATTTATCCCCAATTTTTCTATATTTTTTTAAAGAATAGTCATGTAAAAGCAACAGAATTTTCGCACGGCACGTACACACCAAATTTCTTATAGACGGGGCACTTAAGAGTGAAATTATAGGGCCTTTTGTGCAATTGTCCCCTGCTAGGGTGGGCCAAGTGCCGTGTCAATTCCCCCAACAACACACACCGAAAGGAAACCTCATTCCAAAGGAATATTCCTCAGCACTTTTTATATAATTAATTTATAAAAATTAAGAAAATTAATTAAACTAATTATTTATAATAAATCTGTGTTAATTTTTTTAAATATCTCGTTTAATAATTTCTAATTGAAAACCATTTCCATTTATATAACTCTCATCAGTATGTGCAATTTTAAATAATTATATATTTAGAATACAATAAAGTGATCTTAAGTACTATTATATTTAAGATTAAAACACATCTCAGGACTTATCCCTAATTTAAAATTGGAAGGAGTATTTGTTTATGGTTTTGTTGCTTTAACTTTGGGTTGACATCATTATCAATCTTCATAGTTTGATTCAATTTTGATTTTTGTCTATGTAATTTTAAATAGTTGGTTTTGATTCCTATAGTTTCATAAGTTTTTGGTTTGAGTTTAAATATAAAAATTAAAACCAAACTTCATTAAAATTTAAGCACCACTCGTTAAACTCATACTAAAAAATGATGAAACTATAATATATGAACTAAAATCAACGATTTAAAATTTGAAGAACAAAATCAAAATTTAGTCAAATTATAAGCACTAATAATGATAATAACTCTTTAATTTTTTTTTTAAAAAATCAGTTTGTTCATTTAATTTTAAAATGATATTGTTATTGGAGGGGAGTAATAATTGCACTTGTGTCACATTCTAGTAATAATAGTGATAATTATATTTCCTGAGCATTCACATCTAAATCACACAACATGCGAAGATTTTAATTATGCTCAAAATCATTGTGGCTGCAACTCAACCTCAGACAGAAACTGAAATCAGTAATTCCCAATCACACTTTACTCATACAGCCACAATTTGCATGAGCTCTTCACTATCAATTTCAAAAAAAAAAATATTTACGAGAATTTGGTTTAAATTTAGTTAGTTTCATTTTAATCAAATTATTTCTTGTTTTCGCTTATGGCTATACATTGATCCACCTAAAAAGGTTTATATTAAGGGAGATGTTAGAACACTTTATAGCAAACATCAGAGGGTGTAATAACATCAATAAATACTACTTTCAGTATTAATATAAGAGTTAGTTAGGAGTTGAATATAATTCTAAATATAAGACTTCAACTTATTTTATCTTCTAAATTTATAATTTATTTTTTGAAGTATCTTTATTGATTATACATATTAAGGGGTTTTCATTTAATGATAATCATAATTAAAAAAAGGCCCTTTACATAAATCAATTTATATTTGTTATAAACAACTAACTAAACTAATTTCCTTAATCTATCTAAATTGGTTAAGTGACTCTTATACTAAAGACTTGAGATAGTAACAGAGTAACAATGAGTGATTATGTAAAAAGACAAGATGTGACACCACTTCACCAACGTAGGTATTGCAAACTTAGGGTGTGTTTGGAATCACAGCTAGACCTTCAAACTGACTTCTCTACCGACAAAAGGAGCTTTTTTTATTTGGGATGTGTTTAGAATCACATTTTTGCAATTTGAC